AAACTGGAGACTCACTCTCAAGGACGATCCCTCCATTAATATCTCTGGATATTGTTCTACCCTTTTTCTCTTAGAAAATAACCACACTGTATGAGAAAATTCTTTATTAAAAAATAAAATTGTTACCTCGATTGATACGTGGTTCAAATCTTCAAACTAGTACTGCTAGTGCACTGAAGAATTCTTCAAAATCTTCAAATCTTCAAACTAGCAGTGCTAGTGCATTGAAGAAATCTTCAAACTAGCAGTGCTAGTGCACTGAAGAAATCTTCAAAACACAAAAAATTTAATGTACATATTCCCAAAGTGGTAAAAGAATATGGATTAAAATAATACAGGGTTGCCACAAAAATTAAAATTTCTTTTTCCCCTCACTTTTCCCTGATTTCCAGAAAGAACTTTGACTTTCTCCCTGACCCTAAAGAATATTCTGATTCACTCTAAAATAATTATTAGACACTGAGAAGAATTTTCTGATACATTAATTTAAGAATTTCTTCCCCCACGTGATACGATTCTACGGAAATCGCTCTACGGAAATTCCGTATGGAATTAAGTAATGAATTCCGTGTGGAAATCCGTAAAAATTTCCGTACGAAAATTTTGCAAATATTCCACATATTGTATATTTTTGTAGAGATTTCGATAACTTTAAAAAAAAATCTGTTAAATTGTTACCAACTCCAATTGAGCGTTTCGGTGCAATAATCGGTCTTGCCTCATAGCATTTTGCCGGCGCAAGACCGATTATTGCACCGAAACGCTCAATTGGATTTGGTAACAGTTTAACATTTTTTTTATCAGCTAAGAATTTTTTTCCATGTAAAATTAATAAAGAAAATATTAAAAATTAAAAAAATGTAATAAGCAAATATTAAAAATTATAAAAAAACTATTACCAACTTCAATTGGAGTTGGTACTATTTTAACAGTTTTTTATCATCTAAGAATTTTTTTCCGTGTAAACTTAATAAAATAAATTGAAAATTAAAAAAATAGAATAATAAGAAAATACTATTATAAAGTATAAAAAACTATTACCAGCTTTAATAAGAGTTGGTACCAGTTTAACAGTTTTTTTTTAAAGTTATCTAAAACTCTACAAAAATATACAATGTGGAATATTTGCAAAATTTCCGTACGGAAATTTTTACGGAATTTCGTACGGAATTCTTTATGGAATTCCATGCGGAACTTCCGTAGAATCATTTCACGTGGGTCAATTGTAAGATTATTCAAAAACATCAATAGTTTTATTTAAAATAAATATTTTTTTTTCATTAGGATTAAGATTTTCAAATATTTCAAATTCAAACCTTTTCAAATTGAACAACAAAAAGCAACAAAAGCATCTTTTCTTTTTTCTTTTTTAGTTTAAGTATTTCTTGAATTTTGTAATAAATGGCATTGCCCGTGTATATATTGAAAAAATAAAATAAAAATAAAACATAAAGAAATGGATCACTCCGAGTCGAAGACTTTATGTTTTATAATAATTAAAGATGACCGAGTGACAAATTCATTTTATTTTATTATTTTAAGAATATTGTTACTGTAATTTCTTCAAAATTATTTTCATCATTTCATATTTAAATATTATTTTCTACAATTTTCAAATAAAATTCTTCTTTAAATCAATTACATCAATTTCTATTCATTTAAACTTTTTCAAAAAAAAATTAATTCTACAAAATTGTTAATTAAAAGTACGAGAAATAATAATTGAATTCTACGAGAATTCAATTATTTAAATACAAAAATAAATAATTTATTTAATAAATTGAATGTTTCTTAAAATTTAATTTTTACGAAGAATTTTATTGACAACTTTTGAAAATTAGAAAAAAATTTTCCATTTTACAACTTTTGAAAATATTTAATTTCCTTTAAGGAATTTAATGTAAAATTTTACCGAACTTTATTAAATTAGAGAATTCTATAACAATTTTTGAAAATAATTGAAAACTTTTTAAAGAATTTTTTTTAAACTTTTGAAAATAATTGAATTTCTGAGAAGAATAAATTTAAATAATAATTTTTGAAAACAATTGCATTCATGCAAGGAAGTTTATTAAATTTTCTTAAAATAATTGAAATTTTGCCAAGAATTTTATTAAAATTTTTGACAATAAATTTAATTCTTGAGAAGATCTTCGCTATCTATTTATAAAGATAATTGAAATTTTGACAAGAATTTTTAAAAAATTTTGAAAATAATTTAATTTCTGCAAAGTTTTTTATTACTTTTCAAAAGAATTGAATTCTTCCTGATGAATTTTAATATTTATCAAAATAATTGAATTTTGGAAAAGAATTTTATTCAAATTCCTTAAAATAATTGATTTTATGGGAAGAATTTTCTTGTTTATCAAACTAATTTAATTCTTTTGCAGAGTTACTTGAAAATTTTTGAAAATAATTCATTTTTTGCGACGAATTAAATGTTATTTATGAAAATATTTGAATTATAGCAACGAATTTTATTATTTTATTGAATAATTGAATTTTTCTTAAAATTGAATTCTTTTCTCAAGTTTTAATAAAATTTTTAACAATAATTGCATTTTTCAAGGAATTTATTTAAAGTATTAGAAATCTTTGACATTCTACGATGAAAATTTTTGAAAATAATTTAATTTCTTTGAAGAATTTTATTAGTTTTGAAAATAAATCAAATTTTTTTTTATGAATATTGTTATTTATGAAAATAATTGAATTTTATAGAGAATTTTATTAAAATTCCTAAAAATAATTGTATTTCCATGACGAATTTTGTTATTTATTAAGATAATGGCGTGAAAACTTTTGTAATAATCAAATAATATTACAAAATTAATTTTTGTCAAAGATAGAAAAATTATTTTTAAGGTTTTGTATTGGAATTAGTAGTAGTTTCATAGGTTTATGAGGTAAACATAAAAAGACACCAAAAATGCAGAATTTTCTTATGAATTCTAAAAATTTAATTTTTTCCCGTACTTTGAATAAAAATCCCTGAATTCTCTAAAATCCCTGACCTGTGCCAACTCTGTATTAGATGGAACGGTCTTATTCCAATTTAACTGATGGGTATTAGAGTAAGTTAGAGTATTGCTTCATATCACAAAATGATGATCTGGACTATGCCCGAAGAAAGTATTTAAAAATCATTAGCAAAGTTCGATTGACAAAAAACAAGGAATATTATTTATGAGAGTCAGAGAAGACGAGTGCATACATGGGGTCCCAGTGTGAAAACAGCGGGGGCTGCTTTCTGCCCTATATAGATTTCAGTCGACTCGAGTTCAGGGTCGAGGCATACAGGTGGTCCATAACATAACAGTCACTGCGTTTTATCCGGCAGTAAACCGGCGGCAGGCGCTCAGCTCTATGATTTAATGCTGCATACCCTTCACCGCTACCCCTTTCTATCCTCAACCCCACCCCCGCCTCTTGTACTGACGCCCCTTCTTCAGTCCGGTAACTTCCATCGTGCCTGCACCAACCTGAAGCGTCACGTCATTAAACTACACTTATCATATAGGTTTCGAAACTAAAACACTACACGCTGTACTTTTCGGATATTCGCGATGGGATTTCAGAACGTCTACAACAAAAAGTTTAATTAGATCTTGTTTTTCATTATCCAATATGTAAAGGAAATAGAGTTAAACTAACGGGCGACATTTTTTGTTTAGCCGCAAGAAATTAATATAGTAAAATTACTTCACCGAACGGTAGCTTTAATCGGAACAGTATTAACAAATATGAAATTTAAAAGATTTCTCTTAAAAAACACTTATCTTTTTTAAAGTTTCGCAAGTTGGAAATTTCCATCACCTGAATGGAAGTGTGAGACTTGAGTAACATTTTAGAATCAGTAAAGTGTATAACTCAAGAGGGGGACCCCTTGGAAGCACCACAGAAGCTCCGTAACTCTGTTAATTCATATCTGGAAAGTTAGCTTGAAGGGGTGGATAGGGGGTAAGGTTGAGAGCAGAAAGAGACGGGTTGGGCGTTACAGTTTCAGGGCGAGGGTGGTACTGGTGCTGCGTGTTGGGCCTCAGGGTGTGGGAGAAAGAGAGAGAGAGAGATTGTCGCTGGTACGGGGTAGGTTTCATTGCTGCGCTTCCAGGAATCGATACGCTAGCGGAAACCCAGCGCCACCAACGCTACTACCACTGCGCTACGTTATTGCATCCAATTGGTAGATTTCCCCTTTTACCTTCAAGAGAATTTTTAACCCCAGATTCACGCTAAAACTTTATTTTCAATATTAATCAAATCAGAAGATTGAATTTTTTTAATAGCTTATGTTAACCCAAAAGATGCAAAGATTTGGTAAATTTAGCCTAGGGCAGGAATTGTATGATTGAAACAATAGTTGACGGTCGGTGTGACGTAACGCGTTGGTAGCTGTGTTTCCGCGTGGTTTATGTTATTATATTCGAGATAAGAGGAAACGGAGGGCGGCCGGTTAAAGAGACATCAAAATGACACGCTGCGTTAACTTCTGGCACTTCTCAATGCTAATGTCGTATTCAGCCAAGTGGATGAGCGTCAAACCGTTAGGAAGTTGGATGTCCCTGGTGATTTTCGTAACCGTCGGTGTTCTTTCTTACTTATTCAAATTGTATTCCTCTGCTCAATCTCCACCCATAATTTCCCTCCTTTCTTCTCTAGTGAAACTTCTTTCCGATTCACATACTTCATTTTTATTTATACAAAAATTTATATCTAATAGATAGAATCAAGTATACTCTGGACCGCTAACTAATGCCACCTTTTCTAGCTGAAGCACTATTTAAAATAGAACAAATCGGGAAGGGAATCATTATTTTTACACGCGGTGATAAAAGGGGTTTTGGATCCAAGTTCCATGAAAAATTGTCCGCTGGTAACAATCCTTCCTAGTAAACTAAACTATTTATAAGTCATCAAAATAACTCAGTTTTGATAGTTTGATAGTCTAAGGAGGATTTAAGGGAAAAAAAACAAAAAATAAATCCAGAACTACTCACCGTTGGACGTTATTAACTTCGGTTCCGGTGAGTGAAATGACGACTTACCTGTAACAGAAAAAAACAAAAGATTTAACATACATTACAAACAAATAATATAAAATAATGTTCTAAGAAAAAGGGAAAATATTTATGTAAGTGCAATATTGGTACTGTTAAAGTTGTCTCTTGCTCTATTGAAATGTCCAAAATTCGATGCAGGAAAACGGAAGGGGTTCAAAAATACACAAAGGCAGCTTGCATGTACGTCCGCCACGCCGAAACTATATACAGCGATGCGTTTTGCAAACGTACGCGAGCATACATCATCGTGCGACTAATTTCCGTGATAAATATTTTACGGGTGACCATTACGAGTTGCTAACCCTTCCTCGTGCATACGCACACGTATAAGCACATATATTCCAAACAAATGTGGTTGTATCTGCAAGTGCAGACAATGTGCAAACTGTCTACTAGCTTTATGCCCAATAAAGACTGACGACTTTACAGTAGAAAACGTGCCATCTACTTTACTTTTTTTTCTCCTTTCAAATGTTGATTAAAGTATTCCAAATAATATTATAAGTAGTGATTTTTAGACTGCGACTTCGGCGCTCTTCAAACTTTAGTTTCGAAAGTCAACGCGAAAGTACGCGAAAGTTAATTAAGTTTCGAATCGAAACGAAACTAAATTCATTTTTTAAATTTAGTATTGAGTCGACACGAAACTAAATTGAAAGTAAATTTTTAGTTTAGTTTCGTTTCTCTAGCATCGGTCCTTGCTCTAAATAGCTTAACAATAAGTGGACATATTCTTTTCACGGCTACACTTTCAAACTTCTGTACTAAACTCCAGGTTGCACAGACTTTGTGAGATGATAGTTGATCCTACTCAGTCTCGGCCACATAATTGTCTCGTTGTGCCGTCACGCACCAGATTACATATGTACTAATTTGTTAATTACGTGGCAATGATTGCTCAAATGACCTTATTAACGTTGATACACTCTAAACAAACGCCGTGCCGCACGGACATTCCTAAATGTGCTAATTATTTTTAAACGATGAGTGTAAATTAGTAGATTTCGGCGAAATAAGCTGTTAGTAAATCTCTGCTGCTGGGTTCATGTACTTGAAATAATGGCATGAAACAATCATTTTGAGTGTACCCATTTTATTTTATTGATCATTCATCTCTGCATAAAATTTTGAATAATTCGATAATTGTTTAATTAACGTGTAAATTGAACAGGGTTGCCACAAGTCAGAGAAGTCGGGGAAATTAGAATTGGTCAGGGAAATCAGGGAAAAGTCAGGGATTTTTATTAAAAATACTGGAAAAAACTTGATTTTTAGAATTTATAAGAAAATTCTGAATTTTGGTGTCTTTTTTGTTTGCCTTCATAAACTATGAAATTGACAAGAATTCTAATACAAAACCTTCACATTTTTCTATTTATGACAATAATTTCTTTTTAAATAATTTAATTCTTGAAGTACTATCATAAAATTATTATGTACCTAAAAATTATTTAATGAATAATTTTTCTTAAAAACTTCAAAATTATTGGATTTTAAAAGTGTTGCGTTTACAATCTTCATAAATAGATGAACTTCAAAGGTTTCAATAAAAAACTTAAGAAAATTCCAATTTTTAATGAATTTAAATACAAATTTTAAAAACAACTGATTAACGGAATTCAATTATTTTCAAAAATTTATAAAACTTTTCGTCAAAATTTCAATTATTTTTATGAATAATAAAATTCTTCTCCAAAATTCAATTATTTTTAAAAAAATTTAATAAAATTCTTCTCCAAAATTTAATTATTTATAAAACTTTTCGTCAAAATTTCAATTATTTTTACAAATAATAAAATTCTTCTCCAAGATTCAATTATTTTCAAAAAATTCAATCAAATTCTTGGCAAAATTTCAATTATGTTCAAAAAATTTTTTTACTGTAATTATTTTTAATATCTACTATTTTAATAAAACTTTCCAAAAGAATTCAATTATTTAAACAAAATTTTAATAAAAATTTCACAGGAATTCAATTACCAATTTTTTATAAATTTCTTCGCACCAATTTCATTATTTTTAATTTTTTAATGAAGTTTCTTGAAATAATTCAAATATATTTAGAGAATTCAAAAAAAAATAGTTCTGAGAAATTCAATTACTTCAAAAAATTTAAATAAAATTCTTTTAAAAATGCTATTATTTAAAAAAATTTAACAAAATTCTTTACAAGATTTAGTTAATAAAATTGCAATTTTAATAAAATTCTCCTATTCAATTCAATTATTTTCACAAATAATACATTTTTTATGGGAATTCAATTATTTGAAAAAAATTTGAATAAAATTCTTCGCAAGAAATCAATTCGAAAACAATTGAAAACTTTTTAAAGAATTTTTTTTAAACTTTTAAAAATAGTTGAATGCCTGAAAAAAATTTCAATAATAATTTTTGAAAACAATTGAATTCATGCAAGGAAGTTTATTAAATTTTCTTTAAATAATTGAAATTTTGCCAAGAATTTTATTAAAATTTTTGACAATAAATTTGATTCTTAAGAAGATCTTCGCTATCTATTTATAAAGATAATTGAAATTTTGACAAGAATTTTTAAAAAATTTTGGAAATAATTTAATTTCTCCAAAGTATTTTATTACTTTTCAAAAGAATTGAATTCTTGTAATGAATTTTGATATTTATCAAAATAATTGAATTTTAGAGAAGAATTTTATTAAAATTCCTTAGAATAATTGATTTTATGGGAAGAATTTTGTTGTTTATTAAACTAATTTAATTCTTTTGCAGAATTACTTGAAAATTTCATAAATAATAAAATTTTTCTCGAGAATTCAATTATTTAAAAAAATTTTGATAAAATGCTTTATAAATTTGAAAAATTATAATAAAATTCATCATTGAATACAATTATTAGTTTCGTAAAATATAACATTCTTCCTAGGAAATACAATTATTGTCAAAAATATTTGTAAAAATCTTCGAGACAATTCAATTATTTTCGTAAAATATAAAATTCTTCGAATCAATTCAATTATTTAAGAAATTTTAATAAAATTCTTCCCAAGATTTCAATTTTTTTCAAAAATTAAACTTTTCACAGGAATTCAATTATTTAAAAAAAAAATTTAATAAAATTCTTCGTCAGATTTCAATTATTTTCAATTTTTTAATGAAATTTCTCCATGGAATTTAATTATTTTCAAAAAGTTTTTAAAAATTCTGAGCAATTTAATTATTTAAAAAAAAATTTGAATGAAATTCTTCACAAGAAATTAGTTATTATCATAAGTAAAAATATTTTTCTCCGGAATTCAATTATTTTCAGAAATAAAATTCTTCACATGAATTCAATTCTTTAAAATTTTTTTTTAAATTCGCCGAAAGAATTCAATTATTTTCATAAATAACAAAATTTATCGCAGAATTATTATTTTTTATTCAATTTTAAATAAAATGATAGAAAATTGCATTTCTTATTAATTTTTTTTTAAATTCGCCGGAAGAATTCAATTATTTTTAAAATTTTTTATAAATTTCTTTACAAAAATTCAATTTTAAGAAATATTCAATTATTTATTTTTGTATTTAAATAATTGAATTCTCGAAAAATTTTCTAACAAAAATTGATTAAAAATGAATTTTACTTAAAATTTTGCATTATAATTGAATATTAAAAGCATTATAGCATGAATTTTTAGAAATAATTGAATTTTGAAAAGAGTTCAAATTAAAATGTTTGAAAATTTGAATTTATAGTTACAATATTCTTATGATATGAAATAATGATTTTATCACTCTGTCATTTTAAATTTATCATAAAACATGAAGAAATCGATTGCTCCGAGTCGACGACTCGGAGTGATCGATTTCTTCATGTTTTATAACAATTTTTTATAAGTTGTTTAATTTCAGAAAGGTTTGAATTTAAAATTTTTAAAAATCTTAATTCCTATAGAAAAATAATAATGATTAAGTATTTATTTAAAAAAGAAGTAATTGTTGTTTTCGAATAATTTAAAAGAAATTTGTAAACAAATATAACAGAACATTTTTTTGTGTATCTAATAATTTTTGGTGTGAATCAGTATATTCTTCAGGGTCAGGGAAAAAGTAAAAATTTTGTCTGGAAGTCAGGGACAAGTAAGGGAAAAACAAAATTAAATTTTTGTGTCAACCCTGTTGAAAGTTATCATAAATGACCACTCAGAAGAGTAGTCTAACTGAATAGTCCACTATGTAATGAAAGTTGTGCATTACTATACGAAATGTTACCCTGGCCCTCACTAATTCATCATCACTATAGTGTTTTATTAAACAGAGTTGAATGACCGATAATTAGACTTGCATTGGGTATAGGTGAATTAAAAATGAAATCTGAGAAGCCCCGAGATCGTACTTGTGGATATGGCTTCCTATGGCCGTTCCGGTGGTAACGCAGGGATTACCCATGCTAAGAAGCAGAGTAGGGCTTCGAGCCTCATCGTCTGGAAAATGGCATACTGCTTACATTTACCTTTACACCCTCTGATATGCTTGATCTCGTCTCGACTATCAACCACCTCACTTTACACGTATACAATGTCGGCTACAGTCACTTAACTTTCTGTTTTTTACCTCCCGTTACTTTATTTACTCATTTTCTTCTTCTTCTTATTCTTCTTCTATGTGTAACTATACACTTCTTGATAAAGTCAACAACAACAATGTCTGCTCTGTCAATGTCAATTATCAAGTTTCAAAAGTCAGAAATAAGGGCGATGATGATTCTTTAGAACCTAAACACATTTTTTCTATCTTTTAAAATGTATACCATACCGAAATCATTTTGAGCTAAGGTTTTTCTGTCTTTATCATCAAAGGAGAAGATGGAAAAAATACAGTAAGAAAAGTTGATGAAATGGATGAAATGAATGAAATGGATAAAATGGATAAAATTGTCGGAACCAGAACGAAGAAGAAGATACCGACACTATTAGGTAATATCCGAGGCAGTAGAACATCTCGTAGAAGCAGGGTGTCTTGGTCTG